GGCCCCCGCCGCTCTCCTCCCCTCTGCCAGCCTGGGTGCCGTGACGCACGTACCAGCCCAAACAGCCTCCCGTGGCCGAAGCCCAGCTCTCATTAGCACTCTGCTGGCTCCGCTCACAGCACGGCCACACGAGCACTGGAGATTTGGGCAGCAGCCAGCATTGCTCAGCGCCGGGAGCAGTGTGCCCATAGGGACGTGGTGCAGCACCGTGGCAGCTGCAAGGAGCTGCCCGAGGTGGGGCTGGCCCTGCGTGGCCCCGCTGGTGCAATACTCCAGGTTATGTCACAGGCCCCGAATTTCTCCCCGGCGCACTCATCTGCTGCTGGGTGGCAAGTGGCAGCCTCAGGGCGGGTGCTGTGTGCTGGGCTGCTGATGTGCAAGCCCTGCCCGGCGCACGGGTGGGCAGGCGCTTGCTCCTGGCACAGGGCACGTGCTGCAGGCAGGCGAGGGACCACCGGCTGTCGGGGGGAAGCAAGACGGGCCCTGATGCTACGTGCAGCGCGGCTGACACCGGGCTGTTGCCTGCTGCCTGCACAGCCCTGCCAACGGGCCCTGCAGCCCTGTGCGGGCCACGTGGGCTATGGCCACCTGAAAGCCGGGGGTGAGCATGGTCAAGGCTTGCATGTCCCAGGCCGGCAGGTGGTGAGCCGGGCCAGTGGAAGATGCTCTTGCATGTCTTTTTATTTCCTCCTCTCCTGCCCCTTCCCAAGCACTGCATGTGTGCAATGCCACAGCCCTCTGCCAGAAGGCACTTGGGCGTCGGGGTCCAATCCCTGCTTTTGCCTGAGCCTCTTCAATTAACGTAGCCCCCATGCCCCGGCCAGCCTGAACCCCCAAGAGCCCCTCGGGAGAGGCAGGCTGACGCTCGCTCTCCCTGGCTCTCTCTCTACTTCCCAAAAATCACCAGGCTCAACCTGCTGCCTTGAGCTCAAAGTAACACAATCGCTACCCTTGCACTGCCCCATTTGCTGGGACACCCATCCGGGCTTGGGCACAAAGGCGAGACCCAAGGAGCTGTCAGGGTCCCCATGACCCTTGCTGCTCCCAGGCACCACCATGCGTGGCAGGGAGCACAGCCAAGGCTGCCCGGACAGACGGACAGACCATATGTCCCACCAACACAGGGCTGGGAGGGTCAGCTGTGCAACGCTCCTCTGTCCACTGGGTCATAGGGATGGGAAGAAAACACAAAGCTTTGTGTTTAACCTAGCAATGACATTTCTTCTTCTCATGAGCACTGGGGTACGCACAGTGCAAAGCAGGGACCGGGCTAAAACCCAAAATGGGGAGCGTTGACATGGCGGCAGCCCCCCAGCCACAGCTGCGCAGGAGAAACGTCTCCCCCAGAGCTGAGCACAGACACCACACACGTACCCACGCCCAAGCCCTGCTCCTGCAGTGCCTCCAGCACCGGGCACCCATGAACTGGGTGAACTGGGGCACAGCAGCGATGGAGGAGCTGGGCTATTCATGGCCAGGAACAGCAAGTCAAAAGTCGGAGTGTTGTGACCTGCCCCAGCCCTGCTGCAAGGGATGCCACAGCCAGGAGCCCTTGCCGCAAGCCCCCACGAAGCCAGGTGACACAGCACCCCCCGTTCGCCTCCCAACAGACAAAAGCACCCGAGGACAGAGAAATGCTTCACCTGGGGACGGCTCCTCCGCAGCATGAGGGAGTGCAGCTCCATGGCTCAAGGCTGCTTGCTGGTACCACCGCCGCAGCGACAAACGGCTCGTGCCAGAGCCCGAACCAGCTCCTGCGGCAGAGCTGCCATCGCTCCGGGCGGGAGAGCAGCACGCCTCGAGACAGCCGCCGTGCAGCACCCCAGACACACGCCAGCCAGCCACGGGTTCACAAGGGTGCTTGAAACCAGTCAAGCAGTTGCTTTTTATTTCTTAAAAAAAGAAAACAAACAAAAAAACCCCACCGAATAAAAAAAAAAAAGAAATCAGTCCCCTAATGGTGAAAGTATAGATAGGGCATTTACACAGCTACGTCTATCTTCCGCTGACCCCCCACCCACCCACAGTAATGTAGATTTATACGCGCTTACATAATATAGCTAGACACGGACAGACGAACGGGCTTCGAGAGAGAAGGAGCGGGGCGCGGCGGGGGCCTCCAGCCTGCCAGGGACGCGCCGAGCCGCGGGACTGCCCGACACCCGGCTCTCCCACCCCAAGCCGCGGTGATGCCTCCCCTTGCCGCAGCCCCGGCCGCGGGGCTGCACTGGTGCTGGGCAAGGAGGGAGGCTGCTCTTTGGCTGACGGGGTGATGCGCCTTGCGGCCGAGCCCAGGGAACCGAGCCTCCCGGCCGCCCTCCTCCTCCTCACGAGGTAGTCGGGGAGCTGGGCCGCGTTTGACGTACGAGGTACGGAGAGGAGGTGCAGGCTGGCAGAGGGCACACGCGGCGGCCGAACTGAGGGGGCACGTGTCGGATGCGGGGGGCAAAGCCCTGCCAGCCCAATGGCTCTCGGCATCTTCCCGATGGGAGCCGTTGTCCGGCCTGCGGTCCCTTCGCAGACAGAAGAGCAGTACGAAGGGGTAAGGCCACAGGTGTCGGCACCCTACCGAGGGTGACCCCCGCCTTGGGCACTCACCCTGCCTTCTTGGAAGCTCTTTGGGAACAAGGGAGTGAGCCTGTCACGCGCTCAATGAGCCAAATACAGTACTTGTGTCAGCAAAATGAAGTACTACCAGTTCTGAGGTTCAGTCTGGGAGGAAAGCAGAAATAGCCCTCATTTAGTACGGAGGCAACAGAAATAGCATTGTCCCCTCCGAGGAAAGCCGGGGGCAGCGAGGTCTCTGAGACAAAGAAAGGAGAGACACTTCTGAGATTAAAAGGCCATTCAGCAAAGAGAGAGCAAGGACACAGTGCCACGGGAAAGGGCACACAGCCCCTCCAGCCCCTGCGTAGGACGGGCGGGGAGCACCAGTCCAGCCCCCTCCCCAGAGACCCTGGGGGCTGGATTTGGCCGCTGGGCAGCTCTGGCTTAAGCCATCCTGTCCCCATTCCTCTCCAAAGCAAAAGGGATTTACTGGAGCAAGAGATGCGCAGAGACAAGGCAGCACTGCTCCCCCAACCCACCCTGCAGCTCTCCCGGGAGCACACCAACACCTCGCCATGTGCCACGCAAGGAACTTTGTTACTGGCTTGGGCTGCAGATGTGTTGCTTACTGCCAGCTCAGGTGAGTCAGCCCCATCAGAGGCTGGTGTGCCACCAGAGAAAACCGTAGGTGGGAGGGAGAGGAATCAGCTGGAGACTGGGGTGCATCCATTCCCACGGCTAAAAATGAACCTTGGGGCTTCTGGATATGAGGCCAGACCGGGATGGTCAGGGCTCCTCTACCAGATCAAACCAGGGCTGGGACAAACTGCCCCATCACCCTCCCAGAACGACCCTGGCCTGAGGCACCACCATTTTCCTTCTGTACACAGACGGAGATATCTTCAGCTCCACGTTTCCAGGGTAGAAAACGTGGGACAGGGAAGGAAGTGAGCGCCTGGGGGGGTGGAGAACACTCCTTCAGTTCTGCCAGCCTCAAATTAGAGGGAAAACTAGAACGTTTTTCAGTGGCAAAACAATGCGGCTGCAGAGCTGCGGCTGCAGCGCTCACACCTGCAATTAGACTAGAAGGGGCAAAGGGGCTCGGTCAACAAGAAACCCACAGAAGCGCCGGGTTTAAAGCTCTTCTGGAGAGAGAAATGTGGCCCCGAATCTGCAAGCAGCCCAGTACAGAAGGGAAGAAAGCAGCACTGGGGAACGACAGCTCATCCACGCTCATCCTCCTGCTGGGATAAGCAACACTGCGGGCAAGATTGGACTTGGCAGGCAGGAACGTCAGCACGGAAAAACCCCAGGCTCTGCTTGACCTGAAGCCCCCCCAAAGAGCCCGCCACGCAGGATGAACTTAAAGTACCTGGAAGACAGGCAGCTGGGGTGACAAACAAGGCAGGGAGCCCTGAGCACCAGACACGCCTCGCAACTGGTTGTGATGAGGAGCTGAACTCCCACATTCTGGATTGCACTTGATAATATCAGCACCTACTGAAGGACCCACCTCCTGGCTGCTGCCCGCCAGCCCGGGGAAGCGCTGTGGGTCGCGGGAACCGGTGGTCCCCTGTTAGTCCAACAGGCAGGGCAGTCTGTGTGGGAAGGAAAGCAAAGCATCCTCTTTGCAGGGCTTTTGGGGTCATTTTGGTCCTCTGTGCCTTGCATAGTATTCTGCAGCTACTGAAGCAAAACACCTCTTGTTGTTTGGTTGCAATACTGCAAGGGAGAAGCCTGCATAGTGTCCTGGATCGGCACAGAGAGGACCTCTTACATACCTGTGTGTGCGTGTGTGCATTTTTCTATATTATTTTTCCCACCAGGAGGATGTTGAAGTTAACACTTGTCGTTGTAGAGCAGGGAAGGACCAAGGGACGGTCCCGTGGCATGCACGGGGGGCAGCAAGGCACAGCCCTTAACCGGAGCACAATGCCTCTGCCTGCACGTGCACACAGCTACAGGGACCCTGGTCTCAGCAATAATTCCTCCTTTTTGCCACGTTCCCTATGACTCTGCTACACACCTGGCCTAAGCAACGTGACCTACAACATCTGACCATGACCCTGAGCCTCAGGGAAAGGCAAATCCTTCTGTGTGGCCAGATTTCCTCCGTTAGTACCGTTCCACGCTTCACTTCTCTCCCTGGCTACTGCTGTATTTCTTTTTAATTCCCCATACAGGTGGCAAAAATGTCTATCAGGGTCCGTCTCCCCAGCACGGAGAACCATGGTAGCCATCGTATGCCACGAAGCTTGGCCAGAGCAGCTCCGGCTGCAGGGCCGGGCTGCGGGGCGGCCACGGGGCGCAGGGCTGGGGGGCCGCGGGGCGGAGGGCGGGCGGGAGCACATTTTTTTTTTTTTTTTTTTTTTTTTTTTTT